CGGAGCAGCGGGGGAGAGAGATGAGGGAGACAAGCCGCTGAGCATATAGCAGTGCTGGCTCATTCATGTCTTGGTCTGGTCATTTTGATTGGATGCGGAGTAGCACATTCCCCTATCCCTCTTCCTTGGTCTAAGGATGTTGAATAGACACAAAGGGATCAAACCACTATCCAAACGGACATGTGTTATTGTCTGCTTGTATGAAAAATAAAATCTCATCGTTTTACGCGGACATGGAGAAGTCCGGGAATGGATAACTAAAAACATTGCTTAAACGCCGTCTCCCCTCCCATCCAATCACAATAATATCTGACACACTTATGCATGTCATATAGCCTACCTCAGAATAAGGGCCCCATCTCTGTGATCGCAAATCGTAGCCTATAACCTTTTAATATTGCGCAATTGGTCAATCTTGAACCGGTATGGTGCAATTCATATGGATCATTCGGTTATTTGATCATTTTACAAGGAGGTGGCCGTCCATGGATTGAGGTCCATGATCTATTGTTTCTACAAGCTGTCAGTTTCTTCGCCTGCCTGTGCTCTGCGTCAAAAGCCATAATACCGACATTGTTTTGACTGTGCCTTTGCCTACATATGAATTGAGTTTCTGCATCAAAAGGGCAATTTCTGCAAACCTAATGTGTGAGGTGATTAATTAAAGGCCAGAGACTCAATACGTTCATTTATAATGACGTTATCCATTGTGGAGGTGTGGCAGTCAGAGGATATTCTATACAATACACAAGATAAAATGACAATTGCATGCGCCTTAGAACATTATATATTTTATTATCACACCCAAGAGCAAACACAGGCTACTCACCTTGACTATTCTCGGAGGAGGTAATCGATGCATCGATGTTATCTGAAGACCATGCATCATTTGTCGTCCGCTGAGAAACCATGGAGACCATGTTCGGCAGCGTTTTTTCTGGAGGAAAAACTGATGCTTGCGCATCAGTGGATCTTTTGCTTGAATTGGATGTTCTGGAGCTCAAAAACGTAATTGTTTTTCTAGTGTGGGAAAGCGTTTCTATGCTTGGCTTTGGGGTTGTAGGGTCAGTTGTCGGTGGCTGAATGGTGGTTGCGGTTGGCGAGACAGGAGTCGTGGAGACCTGTATCGTTTTGCTGGCCTCTCCGGTGAAACCAATAGTAGGGGACGGCGTGAGCCCAGTTAGTGGGCCGAGCACAAATCTGCCCTCAGGTAAACGATTAGGCAAGGTGGTGTAGAGCGGCTCCAAGCTCTCGGAGGCTGAGCGAGGCTTCCTGGAGATAGGCGAAGCATCGTAGGAGTTGACGCTAGGTGCAGCATCAGAAAATCCAATATACAAAATAAATAGCAAAGCCGGGGATATGTACATCATTAAGGTCGTTAACCTCATATTAAATGTTAGCTCTCCATGTAAAGCCCTACCTAGTAAGGGTCTGTTTTAGACCTTTCCCTGAATGGACTAGCTCGCGTACTCCACTCCACCATTGATGTCCTCAGCGACTATACGCTGTTCTCAGTGATTGAGAACAGAACTACCCACAGCTTTTTGGCCTTCACTTTCCGTTCAACCTAGCACAGCGCAATGAAACGCTCTAAATTGTCACACTCTTCAGCCAATGAGGGCATTGATGGGAGGTCTCGTGGTATGGTTAGGAGCGTTTGTTTTGCCATGGCAAAGTCATTTTGATTGGTTCAATGCGTAGCCTAATCGTGAGCGAGTGCACATTGAGTGCATAAGTCTGTTTTACTTTTCCTTATCAGTCCACAGAACACATCATTGGATACACTTAAACAAATAATAATATTACATTCTAAGAACACATGACTTTGTGTTCCTAGGCTAGGCTGCGAACCTACATCAATTCGATGATGGGACATTCGGCCTAGGCTAGGCTACTCAATAAATAACAGAGGCCCCTCTTTAACCGATTTCCACCTATAAGCAACAACGTGTTTAAAAAGTGAGTGTAGGCCTATAGAGGTACATTTAACCCTCATACTACCGACAGAGGTAGGCTATATATTTTCTATCATAGCCCAAATATGTATTTTTTTATTATTCCGATTTTTCATGACTTTGTCAACCAACTTGATCTAAATCATTGTTTAATGTTTCTGTATCAATATGGACTGGAAAATCTAATCCTCTGGGGTCATTTTGCCCAAAGCACCAAATTCTGCCTATAGTAATTTGATAGATATTACCTTTATTTGAATCTAGGTTTCTCTGGATAGACAGATTATCTGTAGAGATATACAGTGGCTTGCGAAAGTATTCACCCCCCTTGGCATTTTTCCTATTTTGTTGCCTTACAACCTGGAATTAAAATAGATTTTCGGCGGGTTTGTATCATTTGATTTACACAACATGCCTACCACTTTGAAGATGCAACATTTTTTGTGTGTGAAGCAAACAAGAAATAAGACAAAAAAACTGAAAACTTGAGCGTGCATAACTATTCACCCCCCCCCCCCCCCCCCCCCCCAAAGTCCATACTTTGTAGAGCCACCTTTTGCAGCAATTACAGCTGCAAGTCTCATGGGGTATGTCTCTATAAGCTTGGCACATCTAGCCACTGGAATTTTTGCCCATTCTTCAAGGCAAAACTGCTCCATCTCTTTCAAGTTGGATGGGTTCCGCTGGTGTACAGCTATCTTTAAGTCATACCACAGATTCTCAATTGGATTGAGGTCTAGGCCATTCCAAGACATTTAAATGTTTTCCCTTAAACCACTCAAGTGTTGCTTTAGCAGTATGCTTAGGGTCATTGTCCTGCTGGAAGGTGAACCTCCGTCCCAGTCTCAAATCTCTGGAAGACTGAAACATGTTTCCCTCAAGAATTTCCCTGTATTTAGGGCCATCCATCATTCCTTCAATTCTGACCAGTTTCCCAGTCCCTGCTGATGAAAAACATCCCCACAGCTTGATGCTGCCACCACCATGCTTCACTGTGGGGATGGTGTTCTCGGGGTGATGAGAGGTGTTGGGTTTGTGCCAGACATAGCGTTTTCCTTGATGGCCAAAAAGCTCAATTTTAGTCTCATCTGACCAGAGTACCTTCTTCCATATGTTTGGAGAGTCTCCCACATGCCTTTTTGCGAACACCAAATTTGTTTTTTTTCTTTAAGCAATGGCTTTTTTCTGGCCACTCTTCCATAAAGTCCAGCTCTGCGGAGTGTACGGCTTAAAGTGGTCCTATGGACAGATACTCCAATCTCCGCTGTGGAGCTTTGCAGCTCCTTCAGGGTTATCTTTGGTGTCTTTGTTGCCTCTCTGATTAATGCCCTCCTTGCCTGGTCCGTGAGTTTTGGTGGGCGGCCCTCTCTTGGCAGGTTTGTTGTGGTGCCATATTCTTTCCATTGTTTAATAATGGATTTAATGGTGCTCCGTGGGATGTTCAAAGTTTCGTATATTTTTTTATAACCCTATCCTGATCTGTACTTCTCCACAACTTTGTCCCTGACCTGTTTGAAGAGCTCCTTGGTCTTCATGGTGCCGCTTGCTTGGTGGTGCCCCTTGCTTAGTGGTGTTGCAGATTCTGGGGCCTTTCAGAACAAGTGTGTATATATACTGAGATCATGTGACACTTAGATTGCACACAGGTGGACTTTATTTAACTAATTATGTGACTTCTGATGGTAATTGGTTGCACCAGATCTTATTTAGGGGCTTCATATTAAAGGGGGTGAATACATATGCACGCACCACTTTTCCGTTATGTATTTTTTAGAATAATTTGAAACAAGTAATTTTTTTCATTTCACTTCACCAATTTAGACTATTTTGTGTATGTCCATTACATGAAATCCAAATAAAAATCAATTTAAATTACAGGTTGTAATGCAACAAAATAGGAAAAACACCTTTGCAAGGCACTGTAGGTCCCCATGTACTTGCCTAAGATTGTACTTTTCTATACCACGTCGTATGGCTGTGTACAAAACCAAAAACGACCTTATTTTTGTGCATTCAGGTTTCTCTGGAGACATAATATTAATTTATACATATCCTCAGAGGGTGGAGGGGGACCTGTTGGAGTGATGTTGGCCTGATAGACAGATCACCTACAGAGATGGAGAACCTTATGTACTCGCTTATGGTTATAACTGGTTATAACTAAGTATGAACGTGTACAAAATCAAAATTACCTTAGAGATATGCTTAGTTACAGTCAAAACAGCTCACGAAAGTCTGTCAGTGGTATGAATACTCGGTAGAACTGTAATACAGAAACCAGCTACCCTCTGAATGTGCACATAGTGCTGTATTGGGGTGTATTCTCTGAAAAATAGAATTCCTATAATATTGTCCAATATTCTATATGTGCAACTTGTGATATTTTGGTTGCTATACCATTTGGTTTGAATGGTATATAATGCTGCACATTATATATAAGGGAATCAGTTATATGTTCATTTGACAGAATATGCAAATTGCTGTAATTTTACTTAAATAACAGTCTGTTTTGATTATATATTTTTTCAGATAACATTATTTACATGTCTAATGATGTTTTGATAATAATTAAGTTGATATTTTGCTATGATTGTTGCTTTTTCCAATAGTTTCTTCTTGCATTTGGTAATCCATTCATGTAAAATATGTTGGTAGTAGGCTATTATGAGGGTTAAAAGGAAAAAAATATGATTGTGATGTTTACTAGGCCTAGGCAAGATATGTGCGCTCAGTAGCCTAATCACCCATTGTTTCTACTGTGTGCGAGCGCCACTGTGCGGCTATAGGCCTTAACACCTGTCGTCATTGATCAGGAGTGACAAGAGCTGCACAACATGATAACAGAGGCTAGTTATGAAGCCAAGAGCTACAGAAATGTACATCTAATAATTACTCATTTGATTATGATTTGACAAGCCTTCAAGAGCCCACAATATGCAGTGTCCGGGTCCGGAGCATATAAAACCAAATTCTAAGGCCTATGTATGTGCGTATCCAACACAGCAGATGGCAGCACAACGCAAACTCTTCAGTAAATCCGGCTGACGGAACCGAACATGCACAGTAGTAGAAACATTAGCGAACAGCTGATACAATGGCGCCACTGGACCTGGATAAATACGCGGAGATTGCCAAGCAGTGTAAATATTTACCTGAAAACGACCTCAAGGTGAGAATCAATGCCTTCGCAATGGCAATCACCTCTACAAATAAGCCTGATGAGCAGCACGCATAGTAGCCTACTTATCAGATATAAGCAACAGCAAAATCACTATCACTTCTAATCATATCTAAGCATCCTGAACTGAAATCACAGACTGTGATGCCATAGCCTAGAATTAGAATTCAATGGATGCCATGATCACTTATCAATGTGTAAGTCGCTCTGGATAAGAGCGTCTGCTAAATGACTTAAATGTAAATGTAAAATCATGCTTGACGAAATGATTGGTATGAGATAGTATCATTTACAGTAGCTTAGTTGTCACTAGTGAATTTTTCTACTATGCCATTAATTCATTAAACCATTGCTTGGCATTGCATGACACATCACATTGAAGTCTCTGAAACTGTTACATTATGCTTCTTATTCTTACCAAGTGTGGGTTTTTCCTCAGAGGTTATGTGATTATGTATGTGACCTATTGCTGGAGGAATCCAATGTCCAGCCTGTGTCCACCCCTGTGACTGTGTGTGGAGATATACATGGACAGGTAGGCTACTTTATTGATCATCTAAGCTTTACAGCAACATTGCTAGATATTTGAGTTTGAAGCTGATGGATTTTAAATTTCTTTCCAGTAATTCTGAAGTTAACTTGGTTGTTTCTTCTTCTCTCAGTTTTATGATCTGTGTGAACTCTTCAGAACCGGAGGACAGGTCCCAGACACAAACTATATTTTCATGGTTAAAACTAAACTATTCTCCCCTTGTCCACTCCCATTTATCTCAATTGATTTACAACGTCCATCAAGAATCACCCCATCATGATTTGGTGTCTGTGTCTCTACAGGGTGACTTTGTTGACCGGGGATATTACAGCTTGGAGACATTCACATACCTGCTGGTGTTAAAAGCCAAATGGCCTGACCGCATCACGCTTTTAAGAGGAAACCACGAAAGCAGACAAATAACCCAAGTATATGGCTTTTATGGTGAGAATTTCATTACTTCACCATATCCAGCCCAACCAAATGTTGCAATAATAGGCTACATTAGTAGTTATCGTACAATCCAAACCATTGACTCCAGGTGCACTGGTTGTAAATGGGATGTCCCCGGTCTATTTTGCCTTTCAGATGAATGCCAAACCAAATATGGAAATGCCAATGCCTGGCGCTACTGTACCAAAGTATTTGATATGTTAACAGTTGCAGCGGTGAGTACAACTCTATTGCTTTGTATTTCTGATTTCCTGCAGTAACATCCCCCATATCACAATTTTAGCATTTCAAGCCAACATGGAGATGATTACACATGATCCTTAAGATATGTTCTACTATCACAGTTATTGAGCATTCTAATGCTGTACTTTGGTTGTTTTCTTATGCCAGCTGATGGATGAGCAGATTCTGTGTGTTCATGGGGGCCTCTCCCCAGACATAAAGACCCTGGACCAGATCAGAACCATTGAACGTAACCAGGAGATCCCCCACAAGGGAGCATTCTGTGACCTTGTCTGGTCAGACCCCGAGGACGTGGACACCTGGGCCATCAGCCCCAGGGGAGCTGGGTGGCTGTTTGGTGCAAAGGTCACCAATGAGGTAAGATTAGTCTTGTTCAACACTGATAAGAGATGCACACTGCAGTACATACATTGTCAATTTCACACAGTAATATATATGAAATAGGTAATAGTAATGTTTTCTTTTTCACATTCACATTTATCTCACTCTGTCGTTATTTTTTTGTTTATATATCCCTCTATGTGCAGTTTGTTCACATCAACAACTTGACATTGATCTGTCGTGCACATCAACTAGTCCATGAAGGTTACAAGTTCATGTTTGATGAGAAGCTGGTCACAGTCTGGTCGGCTCCTAACTACTGCTATCGCTGCGGCAACATTGCCTCCATCATGGTCTTCAAAGACGCCAATACGAGGGAGCCCAAGCTGTTCCGGGCGGTGCCCGACTCAGAGAGAGTCATTCCACCCAGAACAACGACACCATATTTCCTGTAAACACTGCACTAACTATCATCAGCTTTGGCCGCACTGTTATCAACCACCACATTTGTAATGTATCACATACAACGGAGCGACAACAACTCCCGTTGAAGTGACACCACTGATTATGTCATTCATATTTTACCAGTGGAGGCTGCTGAGGGGAGGACGGCTCATAATAATGGCTGGAATGGAGTCAATGGAATGGTATCAACCACATGGAAACCACGTCTTTGATACCATTCCATTGACTCCATTCCAGCCATTCTTATGAGCCGTCCTCCTCTCAACAGCCTCCACTGTATTTTACTATAGGCTATTGTATGTAACTTGTATACAGTGCTGTGTGTTTTTGTGTCTGCTGTAGCTCTGTGTGCCAACATGTGTGTTCACACAGAAGTACCCTATCAAGTAATGCCACTACTCAGTTTCAAACGTTTTAGGTGATAGCAGTGTCAATATTTTATGTTTTTATCGAACACATGTTAGATTTAATGAATCATGGTAGTTTACAATAAGAACACGTGAAGTGAAACAGGAACACTTATTTTAGCCACTTTACAAGGAGAAGTCACCGTTTCAGTTTGACTTAGGTCTATTTGCAGCTTATTAGGTCTATAGAAGATGTTATTTGTCAGATGTTAGATTTTATTTTTGTAATGTATATTTTTTGAATTTCATGTATCGTGTAGATATATATATACAGTGTAAAGCACTCAAATTAGAAATATGTTTAAATGAGAATGTACTCATGCACTTGACTTAGTTGTCTCATGTAGTAGTCTTATAATAAAGCTATAAGCCTGATAATTGAGCCTGATAATTGAGGTGAGAAATTATTATAATGAACATCACTGATCTAAAACGTATAGATAGATAGGTTCATATGTCTGTAGATAACGTGATTCAGTTGGTAGGCCTATTAGAGCAGTAAGCCTAGATGTGGTTATTTGTTTGAACTGTCTGTGATACAGGATGAGCATGTGAGCTTGTAGGCTATCAAAATGAGGGATGCTGCTATTACTGTAAATCATTAAATACGTGGGAATACAATCAATGCATCTTATGTTCACAGAGAAATGTCATTTTATGCACACACAGGTGTAGTCTCCCCAGTATCCATCGCCCTGTTTTAGTTGACTGACATGAAGTAGAGCGAATACCTTTCACACCTCTCTTTTAGATGCAGTCTCAATTTGTTTTTTTATAAGAGAAAGTGGGCTGGCAGGTATAAGAGCACCTCCTCCCAGCTGCCCACTGCACTGAGGCTAGGAAACACTATCACCACCGATAAATCTACAATAATCGAGAATTTCAACAAGCATTTTGCATAGGCTGGCCATGCTTTCCACCTGGCTACTACTACCCCGGCCACCAGCTCTGCACCCTCCGCTGCAACTTGCCCATGCCCCCCCCCCCCCCCGCTTCTCCTTCACACAAATTCAGACAGCTGATGTTCTGAAAGAGCTGCAAAATCTGGACCCCTACAAATCAGCTCGGCTAGACAATCTGGACCCTTTCTTTCTAAAATGAGCCGCCGAAATTGTCGCAACCCCTATTACTAGCCTGTTCAACCTCTCTTTCGTAACGTCTGAGATCCCCAGAGATTGGAAAGCTGCCGCGGTCTTCCCCCTCTCCTCACTACATATTCGTCGCCAAACCCACTGGCTCCAGGTCATCTATAAATCACTGCTAGGCAAATCCCAGCCGTATCTTAGCTCATTGGTCACCATAGCAACACCCACCCGTAGTATGCGCTCCAGCAGGTATATCTCATTGGTCATCCCCAAAGCCAACACCTCCTTTGACCGCCATTCCTTCCAGTTCTCTGCTGCCAATGACAGGAACAAACTGCAAAAATCTCTGAAGCTGGAGACTCTTATCTCCCTCACTAACTTTAAGCATCAGTTGACAGAGCACCTTACCGATCACTGCACCTGTACACAGCCCATCTGAAATTAGCCCACCCAACTACCTCATCCCCATATTGTTATTTATTTTGCTCATTTGCACCCCAGTATCTCTATTTGCACATCATCTCTTGCACATCTATCATTCCAGTGTTAATACTAATTGTAATTATTTTGCTCTATGGCCTATTTATTGCCTTACCTCCATAACTTGCTACATTTGCACACACTGTATATATATTTTCTGTTGTATTTTTTGACTTTGTGTTTTGTTTTACCCCATATGTAACTCTGTGTTGTTGTTTTTATCGCACTGCTTTGCTTTATCTTGGCCAGATCGCAGTTGTAAATGAGAACTTGTTCTCAACTGGCTTACCTGGTTAAATAAAGGTTAAATAAAAAAATAAAAAATAAATAAAAGGTAGGATTTAGTTTATCCCTGTCTCTGGCCTCCACTCCAGTACAGTAGGTGGCGGTAATGCACCATAACGTTGGATGCCAACCACCGATAAACCCCACCAAAGAAGAAGAAGAACACGAACACACCTCTCCTCCACATCTCTCTTATCGGATATGTCAAATGAACATGGACCCATATGAAACGTCAGCACAGTGAGTGTAGTTGCAGATTACGTGTTGATGTTAGCGAGCTAGCCTAGTAAAATACAGTCCAGACAAAGATAGGAAGACATTTGTCGTAAAGCAGTATATTTGTAGAGTTATTACATTGGGAAACGGTAGTTTCTATTCGTTGCAGAGAATACCTTAAACACAATGGACTTCACTTGGATTTTTTTACTTTCTCGGAGTTCATACGGTAAGAGGAGGTACCGTTGATTAGCTAGCTAACGTTACTGTTAGCTAGAGGATAACAGTAACCATAACAGCGTTAACTATACTAGCTAGCTAGCCATCTTCATTGTTGAAATCATCTGTCTTTTCATGATCAAACAGTCGTGAACAGTTAACTAAACTGGGACCGACCGATTTCTTAAATCTCGAAATGTTGGGATATTTACAGAATGATAATGAACTATTGAGCTAGCTAGCTAGTTGGCAAACTGCTAACCATAGCTAACTTGAAGCGAGCAGCCATTGCCAATACTGTAAGTAGCTAGCTATTGTAGCTAGCTACATCGTCTCTCATCTTATCATCCAGCTGAAATATCAGTAGCCTCTTTTAGATGTATCTCTTAGTAAATGTACTTGTTAAACCAGCTGTCAAGTGATCTGGTGACATGACAAATCATGCGGCACAAAAGGACTATCAGGTAGCTATAGTATAAAATTCAAGGCACCTGAACTGTGTAGTCTATTGACATTGACAGCAGTCCATATCCTTAGCAACTACAAGTTTTTCCAACTACCAGGAAACATGCATCACTCATAATATCCTCATTCTGCATCTCTAATAGTAATAGTCTTCATGCTGATCACCGTGACACTCTCTGTTGTCTATTTCAGATTGAAAGTGGAATGACAATGACAGTTCCCTTGCCCGTGAGAGGAGGCTACACTGGAATACAGCTTTTCTGTGACCAAAACAAGGGACCCTGAAGGACCACAGCCTGTGCGACAGAGGACTTGCATTGTGGAGCTTTTGGGGAGAGTAACAGGCAGTACACTTGGGTAAAGAAACACTAAGGCAAGGTGGAGATGTTTGCCAAACTGAAAAAGAAGATTGCTGAGGAGGCAGCCACAGCCCCCCGGACCGGAGTCCGCATGCCTCGCTCCTACAGCAAAGAGTCCATTACGTCAGTGGGGGCAGACTCAGGGGATGATTTTGTAAGTACCAATATTGTTTCCTGACTGTCACTCTGTCCATGCCAGTCATCTTTTGAACCCACCAAGAGTAGTTGGTCACATGACACAAAACACAGTCACACACAATCCTGTTCGCCTAAGAAGTTTTCCCACACTATTCTACAAGGGGGACATCATGGAAGAAGAGAAGGGAGGTTTCTTTGAAATTATTACTTTTGGCCTCTAATTTGAATAAGCTTACACTTTGCACTTACGAAAACGCAAACAATGATAATTTTTATCCTGTACACGCTCAATTCAACATAGGCTATTGTATTATTATATTACAGTTTTCTCAGTGTTTAGAGATTATTTTATGAGATGGATATCTAATAATGGCTTTATGAATATCAGCAAAATAGTAGGCCTAATGTACAAGATTTACAGTATGCAGAGCCAGGGAAAGAGCAGTAAAGTGATTTTCTGCATTTTTAAGTTTGGTGTAATTGTCCTTTATTAACTAGTATGCCTGCCTATATTTTTTGACATTGCCTTTTGGATTATGAGTTGGGTCTGTGAGTCAGCTAGCTTATTGTTATATGGTTGGGTGTGTCTGGAGATTGGCGTCCAGAAGCCAGTGGATGCCATGGTTTAGTGTAAATGTACGAGTACAATACGATGGCTCTTTTGTCAATGATGACATTAATTTAAAAATTGTAGGCGCAAACCTGTGTAACATTAAGGCGCAAACCTGTACAACCTGAAGCCCTGCTCGGGTGTCGGCTCTGCAATGCTCTGTTCACTTGACCAAACATGACACATAGGCACTATAACACACACACACACAACATTTATTTTCTCTTTTGGAGAAGGTAGCTTAACATACTATATGTTGAGACAGTTCAGGTTACATTTTGATTAGGCTAATCAGTAATCAATGTGATGGTGTTATACCACATTGCACTGTGGTACAGGGTTACCCAGATCCAGTCTTCTGGGGCTGATGTGTATTTAAGTCATAGACTGGCAAGAAGGTCAAATCACCTGGTAGACTATCCCTTGTCAAATTTGTAGTAAGCTAAAATCAGGATGACATCAAGTTAAAGTAAACACACTGAGTGAGGTACCACTGATATGAAATGTAGTTATTATAGCAATAATGGACTGGAGCCTGGCCTGTAGGCCTTACATCATGTGCCACCTAAGTCATAGCATTGGCTGGCATGAACAATTCACTTTTGTGTGGGTGGGAGGTGGGTGTATGATGGAGTGTTATTCTATGTATGTTGTGTCAATTGATTTTATGTATTTATGTGGAAGCAGCAGCACTCTTTAATTGTCCAAGTCAAATTTCCTTTCGGGGACAATAAAGTATATCATATTGTATATACACTGAGTATACTAAACATTAAGAACACCTGCTCTTTCTATGTCATAGACTGACCAGGTGAAAGCTATTATCCCTTATTGATGTCACTTTTTAAATTCACTTCAATCAGTGTAGATGAAGGGGAGGAGACAGGTTAAAGAAGGATTGTTAAGCCTTGAGAAAATTGGGACATGGATTGTGTATGTGTGCCATTCAGAGGGTGAATAGGAAAGACAAAAAATGTAAGTGCCTTTGAATGGGGTATGGTAGTAGGTGCCAGGCATAGCAGTTTGTGTCAAAAACTGCAATGCTGCTGGGTTTTTCACTCTCAACAGTTTCCTGTGTGTATCAAGAATAGTCCACCACCCAAAGGACATCCAGCCAACTTGACACAACTGTGGGAAGCATTGGTGTCAACAAGGGCCAGCATCCCTGTGGAACGCTTTCGACACCTTGTAGAGTCCATGCCCCGACGAATTGAGGCTGATTTGAGGGCAAAAGGGGGGGGTGCAACTCAATATTAGGAATGTGTTTCTAATGTTTGGTATACTCAGTGTAGATCTTGTCAGTGTGATATTTCATAGACTCTACAACACCCACAACATAGATGTTTCTAATACCTGCTGACCCATTACTATGGAAGCTCCAATGTGACCTGCTGTGCTGATGAGGAGCCCTATGTTCTGTGTGTTTGTGTTGACCTCCAGGCCTCTGATGGCAGTAGCTCCAGGGACGACCTCTCCTCCCAGATCCTCAGAAGGAATGATCAGATTCGCAAGCTAGAGGCCAAACTATCAGGTAAGACATGTCTGTATGGAGCCAGTTTAATCAGAGTAGGATGAGGTGGGTGCACCTAGGCCTAGACACTGATCTAAGATTAGTTTTGCGTTTCCCCATTCAATAGTTAAGGTTAGGTTTGGCAGTGGGTAAGCTGATTCTAGATCTCAGGTTCACTCAGGTCAAAGGTCACATAACCAACGGGTGATGTCTGGTTTCAGACCTCAAGGTTTTTGTTCTCAACACTGACCCTCATAAGGTATGATTGGGGTAACTTTTACAAAGTTTCTTTATTCTTTACCACATACCCATCTGGTGAACGTTAAGAGCAAATGCCATGGCTTTTAGTCTACCTTTGTGGGTTCTGTGTGTCTTCTCTCCCAGATTAGTGTGATAGCTACTCCTCCCTCAGACGTGGTGTGTGTGACCCATTAGAAGAGGTTAAAAGTCTCACATCCTCATGTAGCCTCTTAACCAGGATGGTTTTCTCATCTAAGAAAATCATTTTTTTCTTTCCTTTTGTATGCCTCTCTTCATTTATTTTATTCCTCCTCCCCTGTCCCTTTTACCCTCATCCACCTATCCCCCTTTCCTGGGTGTGTGTGTACTTGTGTGTTTCTGTGATGTTGGTATCCCATCACCCCACCTCCTGCCAATAGACTACGCTGAGCAGCTCCGACTTATGCAGAAGACCAAGGACAAGCTTGAAATTGCATTAGAAAAACATCAGGATTGTACGTACCTTTATTCTCCTCCCATTTTGCTTCCTTTCTGTCTCGTTTGTTTGTCTGCTGGCTGGGGTAATGGTCACCCTAAGCACAATCAGTCGCTCACGGTGGGGTTGAGAATCATGCTGTCACTTCTATAGATTTCCATATCATTTTTGTTGATGAAACCAAGGACTTACATGCTTGTTCACATAGAATTGTTTAGAAATGTTTGTGGCCCCCAAGTAGCGTTGCAGTTCTTGACACAAACCGGTGGGCCTGGCACCTACTACCATACCCTGTTCAAAGGCACTTAAATATTTTGTCTCTTCCATCCAGCCTCTGAAATGCACACATACACAATCCATGTCTCAATTGTCTCAAGCCTAAAAAATCCATCTTTAACCTGTTTCCTCCCCTTCATCTACACTAATTTAAGTGGATTTAACAAGTGACATCAATAAGGGATCATAGCTTTCACCTGGTCAGTCTGAAAATAGCAAGTGTTCTTAATGTTTTGTATACTCAGTGTAAGTCCATATGGGATGTCTGTGTTGGCCATGCTTAGACGCACTGCTTGCCTTTGCTTCTGGGGAACACTTAGCTTGGCTTACTGGACACATTCTATGGTCAATTGTATCACCCTTTCACTGCTAGCAGCTACTAACCACTGACAATTCCACAACCAGCTGTTTGAACCAAGCCATCTTTGGCTAGCCTGTTGTGTTCATCCTCTTTCTTTCTTTCTTTCTTTCTTTTTTTATTTGTCTTTCTTTCTTTTTTTTTCTTTTTCTTTCTTTCTTTCTTTCACTCACTACCCAGCCTCCATGAGGAAACTGCAGGACCAGAATGAGACTCACCTCGCCAATAGAGCCAAAATGGCCGAAGGTATGGCTTTGGCCCTGGACAAGAAGGATCAGGTGAGCATCATATCCTTTGCACCACAAGGCATATGTTTGTGTGTGTTTATAGTTAGATTAATTCCAGTTTTTGTCTGTAGGAATGGATAGAAAGGATGTCTACGCTGGAGCAGGTATGCTAACGTCTAAACTGCATTCTAACATGGAACAAAAATTCTAGGTTCTCATTCAGCCAGCCAGTCAGTCTTTGTCTGTGTAGACAAGAGATCTAACTGGGGTCATCTTGTCTGTTCCTCAGGAGAAAGAGTCTCTGTCTGTGAGGCTAGATGATATGATGGAGCAGAGCCTTACTCTGTTCCAGAAGAGGGATGACCTGGACGAGCTGGAGGGCTTCCAGCAGCAGGAGCTCGCCAAAGTCAAACACATGGTATGCAATACGGACAACAAGATCCCACTGTCTTAACTCTAACCCACCACATTGCATGTATGAGGAAAGTCAAACATACACTTGTCAGTTTGTGCTTTATCTGTCTGTCTATTCTGATCCAAGCTGTAGCTGTGTCAGTAATGATCCATCTTGGTTAAACACCACTTTGGTGGGATCAAACGTTTTCCTATTACCCTAGACAATAATTGTAGTTAAACATTTGTTATAGTGAAGTCCTTTTTGTGGTTGGTTCTGTTTTGTTATGGTAGTTACTGAGGAAGGAGGAGCAGCTGGGCCAGCGGGAGCGAGTGCTCCAGCAGAAGGAGGCTGAGCTGCAGATGGCCAAGAAGGGTCTGGCCGAAGCCCAGGAGAAGCTGCGGGCTCTGGGAGAGGTGCATCAGGAAAGTTGCAGGCTCAATACGGAGCTGGAGATCGAAAGGTAAGGACAGGACACAGAGATTGCCTTGATAATGCCATGAATTCAGTAGTTGGACAGATGCTTGTCTTGATGACTGAAAGTAATGACCTTACTCATTGTAGAGCTTGCTCCCCTCAGAGTTAGTATGCCAATTCTCTTGATGAATTCTGCCTGTTTTCTTCTGGGTTGTCTGAGGTTTTGGTGTTTGTCTAACAGTACAGGGTGTGTGTGGTCTCCTTTTAGAGAGGAGCTGCTGGAGGTCAGGGAGGAGGCTGAGAAGAAGATTACTGAGCTGGAGGGCAGAGGCCAGAACCTGCAGAAGGTCATCCAACAGGTATCTGAGGACTTCCAGAAGGTGAGCCCTCTAACCCAGAGATAAATCCTTTACCAAAATCATTTCACTGTATTGAAATGGTACGGATCTGTAATGACAGCAAGCTAAATGTGATAATATTTAATAAAACATTTCAGATTGTAGTGATCTAATTGTGTATGTTCTCAGTCGCGGAGCGCGGCAGCAGCTGTAGAGAAGTCTCTCCATACGTTACAAACGGAACACAATGCCCTGAAGCTGCAGCAACACAAAGTAAGACCAGAACACCATGCAACTCCCTATATCTACCCCCTATTCCTCCTCCTCACCCTGCCCTGTGGAGGGAGGTACAGTATGCTGTGTATTGACCCAATCCTCTCTCTCCTTGCTGTGGTCCCCAGGCTACAGTGACTGATGAGGACAAGGAGCGTGTGCTGTTGGACCTGCAGGAGAAGATCTCCTCTCTGGAGAGACGTCTGCATGGCAACCTGAGTGAAGACGAGCTCCTCCAGGAGCTGCTCAAAGAGGTAACTACAACAGCTAATCCTAAAGACAGAGGGACTCCTGTGGAATTAGTTTAAAGAAAATACCATAGAGAATGGTGATGCATTTCTTAGCTCCTTTTTCCTGTGTGTTGTTGTGTAGAAGTCGACTCTGGAGCAGAGGCTGGAGGACACGAGAGTTGAGCTGCTGGAGGCACGCACCAACCATGCAGACACGGTTAGCTCTCTGGAGACTCAGGTAAACAGCCCTCTCTCTACCTCTTCATCAGCATGATATACTTCTTCACATGCTACTGGGTTAGATGGTCCATTAGTTAACAGTAATATGTGAAAAACTGTATGAACTCGTCTGGTAAGCCTCTGGTAAGCATACTATATCTCTACTCCCCCAGATATCCAGACTCAACAACAATGTGACTGAACTACAGACCCTGCTACGACACAAAGACGACTCTTCCAAGAACTACAGAGAGAGAACGGACGCGCAGGTAAGAGAACAGACACACTGGTGGGAGAGAACAATGTAAGCATTTAAGACCTGTGCTCTCTCTACCTTCAGTCTCTCACACACAGCCCCATGTCTCGGTCTCAGATTGCAGGTCTGGAACAGCAGGTGCAGGAGAGCAACGAGAGGCTCAAGAACACTGAGCAGCAGATCACTGACAAACAAGCACGTCTGGACAAACTGGTAAATAAATGTCAGATTACGGTGGAAGATGCTCTACCACCACTGTTCATAAATAACGTTGAACCTGAGGCTGGAGCAAATGCAGTTGAAGTTTTTTTCTTTTTCTTTAGGCTGATAAGACTTTTTCATGTCTCCTATGGCAGAGACAGTTAATATGAGTATGTGTGATGCTGAGACTGCCCTTTCCCCTGTGACCCCAGCAGGCAGAGTGGAGTGTGGAGAGGGACAGTCTGCAGCAGCAGGTGTCTGCAGAGCGGCAGCAGGGCCAGGAGAGGGCAGACCGGCTGGAGGAGCAGCTCTCTGCACTGCAGACAGAGAGAGACACAGAACACACCTCTGCCCAAGCCAGGATTGTGAGTTACAGTTCTCTGCTCTCACTTGCTCTGTACATTTTAATTCACAAAACTGTTCTTAGTGACATGTGCTGCATAGTTTTATAACCCGAATGTTAAGGTAAATTGTCACTTTGGTATTTGATAGAGTTTCGATGCAGACTCTGATCAGCTTATCCATTGGTCTCTGTGGATTGTTAATTGTCCATTATCGGTTGCCATGTAATTTGATCTCTGCAACAGGGCATGAAACTGGACTCTCAAACAAGGCCATCAAATATTTATCTGTTGATATTGGACTAATTTCTGCTTTTCTTTCCTAACATCCCTTTCTTCTCGCTTCTCTCTACTCACCCACTCTCCGAACCTCCTCCCTGCCTCTCCAACACCTCTCTCTCTGTCTCTCTCTCCCTCACCCACCTCCTCTCGCCCGCCCCACCCACCGCTGCAGGGAGAGAGCTGCAACTCCAAACCACCTCTCTGGCTCCCCCAACCATCCATCTCTCCCTCACCCATCTCTCTCGCGCGGACCCTCCAGATCCTCGAGTCCCCCACCACATTCAACTCTCTCCTCTCGTCCCAGCTCTCCCGCACATCGGCGGCCTCAAACCCACCTCCTCGGACGACCCGAACCTCGTCGGCCTAACACCACCCCCAGCCACCTCTCCGCTCTCTCCCCACACCACTCTCTCTCTGCACATCTCTCCTCCCCCAACCCACCGCCTCTCTCTCACCACCGTCTCTCAACCCCACCTCCTCGGGCTCTCTATACACCACTTCTCAGTTTCGCCCCAACCCCATCTCTCTGATCCCTCCTCAACAAAACCATTCTGAGTCACCACCTCACTACCTCCTTACCCCCCGCCCCTCTCCCTCCCACACTCCCCGACACGCGCTCATCTCTCCACGCCGTCTCCCACCACCCCTCTGTGTCTCCTCGCCCTCACCCACCTCTCGCTCGGTCTCTCCTCTCAACCCCACCGGCCTCTCGCTCCCGCTAACCACGCCGCGCGGCGCACCCACCGCCTCTGGTCTCGTCGCGCTCCACCCACCTCTCTCGCCGCACCGCCTCACACCCACCTCTCTCTCGTCTCGCGCAACCCCCATCGTTCGCGCATCACCCCCACCCCACTACCACCGCGCCTCGCCGCGGACGCAAACCATCCGTCCTCTCTTGCACCCACCACCCCGTCTCGCTCTCCTCACCACTTCTCTCTCTCATCCCACCCACTCTCTATCTCTCTCTCTCCCTCATCCCCCCTCCTCTCTCTATCTATCTTCTCTCTCCCTCACCCACCCTCCTCTGCTCTTCTCCCCACCATTCTCTCCTCCTCACCCACCCTCTCCTCTCTCTCATTCCCCCCATTTTCTCTCTCTCACCCACCTTACTCTCTGTCTCTCTTCTCTCTCTCATCATCCCATCTCTCTCCTCCTCTCTGCCCTCTCCTCTCTCCCCTACCCACCTCTCCCTCCTTTCCCCTTTCCTCTCCCCACTCCCCTCTCTCACCCCCTCTCTCCTCTCTCTTCTTTGCTCTCTATCTCCTCCCTCACCACCTCTCTTCCTCTGTCTCCTGCTCCTCACCCACCTCTCTCTCCCCCTCTCGCACCCTCCCACACCCACGTGCTCTCTCACCCTGTCCTCTCTCTCAAACACCCTCATCTCCCCATCTCTATTTCTCCTCTCTCTCCCCACACACCCTCTCTTTCTCTGTCTCTTCTCTCTCTCCCTCACCCACCTCTCTCTCTCGCTACCCCACCCACCTCTCTCTCTCTGTCTCTCTCGCTACCTCACCCACCTCTCCCCCACCCATCGCTGTGTTGTATTTCCCAGAGTGAGTTGGAGGAAGAGAGAGCATCTCTGCTGAGGGGGAGGGATGAAGCTGACGTGGCTCTGAGGAGTCGGGCAGAGGAGCTGGAGGAGGCCAGGGTCAGACACACTTCCTGCTTAATATTAGGCAGTCAGTTGAAAGCAGGAAGTCACAGATTTCCTGATAAACAAGATATATTCTTTCAATGAAATTGCATTCTTGAGTCACTCCAGATGTTTTGCATGCTGTGCCACACCATTTTTATGACAATAGCTACTACATTAAAACTCCCAAAAAATGGTCCTGTTGCCCATCCAAACTGGGTAATGGTGTCCCTATATGTGTCCCCAGTCGGAGCTGAGTAGCAGGCAGACAGTGAGTGTGGAGATAGCCATGGCTCTGGAGGACACCAGGAGACAGAAGGTGGAGCTCCAACTACAGGTCTGGAGACACATCATACATACTTACTATCACATCTTACATTTTTACTGTACTCTTTGAAATAACAAACAACATTCTTTACACTGTGTTGGAACAAGGTTTTAAAAAATTGCATATGCAATTGCATCTGCCTTAATCATACTCAGGCTGTATGGGAGTGATCTGTTACAAGGCCATGAATTCGGCTTGTGTTGATTATGTGCTCATAAATAGATGATAATGTTACTGTCTCCTTTTCCAGGTAGGAGAGATGACAGCGTCACTTCAAACAACATCGCAAGAACTGGCCCACGTCACTGAGCAGCTGAAGCATAAAGAAGAGGAACTCCAAACACTTAGCAATGGTAAACACATTCTCTGTCCACAGGAGCACTTTTCCTCTGTCTCCCATGCTATGTGAATTCAGAAGTTGTAGTGTTTGTCTGATGTTCCCTTCCATGGTGTTTGTGTTGCAGAGCTGCAGAGTGCCCAGAGCTCCCTGTCCCAGCTGCAGGAGGAGGCGGAGAGGCTGCAGGAGGCAGCCCAGGAGAGGGAGGAGGAGAAGGACAGCCAGCTGGTCAGCCTGAGGCAGGAGCTCCTAACTCAGAACGAGCAGTTGGACTCTTGCCAGTCACGGGTCAGAACACACACAGGGAGCACAGCCATTAAGCTTTTAACTCACATACTGTACATAAGTCAAAAGTCTGTCATTACATATCAAGTTAGGTCTGCATGTCTGTTGTTGATTGGACTTTGTCTGTGTTGTCTGACTGTGCTTCTGTCTGTGTCCCTCCCAGGTATCGGAGCTGGAGGTAGAGGTGGAGACCCTGACGTTGCAGCAGCAGACTCCAGAGCTGTGTGAACTGGACCAGAATGGGACCGTGACTGTGGACGACCTGGACCACATGCAGAAGGCCAACCGAGACCTGGAGCAGCAGCTCAGTGACAAGAACAAGGTCAGTACTGGACGAACCAGAAACCATGATCACCACACAGGCATGGTCAGATAATCACTGCTTGTCTGAAATAACTGGAGCAGGACCATTTCATTATTCCTGTGAGTTTTGTGTGCTGTTATTGATTGGATGCCTGTTGCTTTACAGACCATTAAGCAGCTGCAGCAGAGGCTAGCAGAGCTAAAGAGGACCTTGCAGAAGGAGCTGGTGAGACATTTAGATACCTTAGTATGGGTATTGTATTGTATTTAAATCTAATATTTTTTTCAGTTCATTAAATATTGTCCATGTGCTGAGTTCTGTTTGTGTCTGTGTTTCTGGTGCAGAAGCTGAAACCTGAAACAGAGTCAGATGGGAAAGAGAGGGCCCAGGAAGGGAGAGGAGAGAGGCAAGAGAGGCCAGACAGAACCTTTACAGAGCCCACTCCAGGCCCGGCCCCAGGCCCAAACACTACTGTCACCAACACCTCTGATCTCAATGACTCACGAGAGATCAACTTTGAGTACCTCAAACACGTGGTGCTAAAATTCATGTCATCCAGAGAGGCTGAGGTGAGAGCAGTCCACCTGGTCCTTGTAATAGCTAGGCCATATACACAGCTAGGCCATATACACTGAGTGTACAAAACATTAAGAACACCTGCTTTTTCCATGACAGACTGACCAGGTGAATCCAGGTGAAAGCTATGATCCCTTATTGATGTCACTTGTTAAATCCACTTCAATCAGCGTAGATGAAGGGGAGGAGACAGGTTAAAGGATTGTAAAGGCTTGAGACAATTGAGACATGGATTGTGTATGTGTGCCATTCAGAGGGTGAATGAGCAAGACAAAAGATTTAAGTGCCTTTGAACGGGGTATTGTAGTAGGTGCCAGGTGTACCAGTTTGAGTCAAGAACTGCAACGCTGCTGGGTTTTTCACGCTCAACAGTTTCCTGTGTGTATCAAAAATGGTCCACCACCCAAAGGACATCCAGCCAACTTGACACAACTGTGGGAAGCATTGGAGTCAACATGGGCCAGCATCCCTGTGGAACGCTTTCAACACCTTGTAGAGTCCATGCCCTGATGAATTGAGGCTTTTCTGAGGGCAAAAGGGGGTACAACTCAATATTAGGATGGTGCTCCTAATGTTTATTAGGTACACCACCCCGTTCACGAAAATGGATCGCTCCTACAGACAGTGAGTCACGTTGCCGTGGCTTGCTATATAAAGCAGGCAGACAGGCATCGAGGCATTCAGTTACTGTTCGATTGAACATTAGAATGGGCAAAATTAGTGACCTAAGCGACTTTGAGAGTGGTATGATCGTCGGTGCCAGGCGCGCCGGATCCAGCATCTCAGAAACGGCCGCCCTCCTAGGCTTTTCACACACTACAGTGTCTAGGGTTTATCGGGAATGGTGCAGCAGTCCTGTGGGCGAAAACAGATCGTTAATGAGAATGGCAAGAATCATGCACGCAAACAGGCGGGCCACAAACAGACAAATAACACGGCATCTTGGAATGCACAACTCATCGATCCTTGTCACGGATGGGCTATTGCAGCAGACAACCACACCGGGTTCCACTCCGATCAGCTAAAAACAAGAAGAAGCGTGTGGGCACGCGATCACCAACACTGGACAACTGAGGAGTGGAAAAACCTCACCTGGAACATGACAGCGAGTTCAGTTTACTTGAGTGGCCTGCGCAGTCCCCAGACCTTAACCTAATAGAGCATCTTTGGGATGAGATGGAACAGGCAGTTCGCAGCATGAATATACTGCCAAGCATGGACCATCATCCCTGTGGAATGTTTCCAACACCTTGTAGAATTTACCGAAGAATTCAGGCTGTTCTGGAGGCAAAGAGGGGTCCGACCTGGTACTAGATGGGTGTACCTAATAAACTGACCGGTGAGTGTATCTGATGTCTATGGTCATGGCTGAAGTCTAAATCTCTCTCTCGCTCTGTGTCCCCCTCTCTGTATCTTAGGCCTATCAGCTGATCAAAGCGGTGTCTGTGTTGCTGAACTTCACTGGTGAGGAAGAGGACATGTTGAAGCAGACTCTGGAGTACAAGGTGGCTTTCTCCTTTCACACCTTGTTTCCCTGAAACTCGTGTCAAATGAATGGGTGTTATGGCCTGTATACCACAGCCAGTGTGTATCAAATTAAATAGACCATGACACTATTTTGTCCTCAATTTCTTAAATGTACTAGCTATCTGTTGTTTATTTTAGAATGACTTAAGCTGCATCTGGAGGGAAATTGTTATTTTATAGAGGATACTATAACATTCAAACCCATGTTTTGCTACCTATAGACCCTTCACCAGTTGTAATACTAGTTTTAATAGTCCAGTGATATTTAATATAATCATAACTATCGCTGTGTTTTTCAGATGTCCTGGTTTGGATCCAAGCCTTCTCCAAAGGGTATTGTTCGGCCATCAGTTTCAGGGGCACCTACTCACTGGAGCTGAGGGGACAGAGAGAGGAAGAGATGTGGAGAGGACAGAGACACACACACATGACTTTTATCATGTTCTTGCATGACTTCTCCCATCACTGTGGCAACCAAATGAACATTGTAAAGAGGACACAACCCAAGCTTTAAAATGGTTTCTGACATGACACAGATTCCCATGTAGCTCTTCAAGAGAACAGAGAAAGGCTCCACAATGACTTAGAGGGGCAAAGTCTTGTTTTATGGTCTGTTCATTTTCTGGATGGGTGATTTTATTTACAAGTAAAATGGTTAAAGCAGACAAGGTGAACACTTATCAAATGGGTCAACACCATAAGAGAAACCCTCCTCCCTCCCTTTGGAATGAGGTTAACATTAGATCTAACTCTGTGATGGACTCAGTAGAAGTACACTACATGACCAAAAGTATGTGGACACCTGCTCGTCGAACATCTCATTCCAAAATCATGGGCATTAATATGGAGTTGGTCCCTCCTTTGCTGCTATAACAGCCTCCACTCTTCTGGGAAGGCTTTCCACTAGATGTTGGAACATTGCTGCGGGGACTTGCTTCCATTCAGCCACAAGAGCATTAGTGAGGTCGGCACTGATGTTGGGCAATTAGGCCTGGCTCTCGGTGGTCCCATTCTGTGAGTTTGTGTGGCCTACCATTTTGCGGCTGAGCCGTTGCTGCTCCCAGATGTTTCCACTTCACAATAACAAATCCACTAATTTGAAGGGGTGTCCACATACTTTTGTATGTATAGTGTATGTCTTATTCTCCAGGTGTTAAGTGTGGGATGGGTCAGGCCTACCAGACTGTCACGACTCTGTTTGACAGAGAATATTATTTATGTCTCTGTGCTCCAATGTCTGTTTTTTCTTTAATTTAGACATAGGAAACGGTATTTACTGCCAATGACTACCTATGGCAGGGTTCCCCAACTGGTGGCCCGTGGACCGAATCTGGCTCACGTGTGGTTTTATTTGGCCCAAAGCTTTCTGACAAAAACAAAATATTTAAAAAATGTCATTGTTGGACATGACTGTAAAAACACCAGGAAATCCGCTCCAAGTGATTTTAATTTTGGAAATCTGTTCCCAAATATACACAAGGGACACAAATGTACAAATGTAAGCAAGGTTTGAAATGTTTTAGTCAAATATTAGATCTGTTTGGGATTCTTGCGGTGAATTTGCAGTCTACAAATATTTGTAATTATGTTCCGACCCCACCCCCCCACCCCTTCAAGAAAAAATTGGGCCGCGGCTGGATCTAGTTGATGATCCCTTCTCTATGGTTGGGAAAGGGATATTGTTGGATTGTGAGTGCATGAAAATAATAACCTTGAAAATGCTACCGCCCCAATCAACCCCTTTTCAGTTGAATGGAACGCCCCAAGATTTCTGAAGGACCCTTCACAACAGTCTTTCATTTGTTTTTTTTTCTATAAAAATATTAATTCAGAGGGCTAATGTAGGAAAATTCCATGTTAAAATTAGAACTTGTGATGCAGGTTTGCTGTTCTCTGAAGGGGAGGTGAGAGTCATATATCAATGTCTTTGATATCAATGGAGAAAATATATGTCATGTAAAAAGGAGAGGAGTACTTTTTAAATATAATTTTAAATATGTTAAATAATTATTGAAAGCTATCTAAATCAGAATTATCGGAGGATGTGCTCTACCTTTACCTGCCTTGTGTTTGTGTAAATAACAGTACATTCCATATGTCTATTTATATATGAAAACTGTACATACCGTGCCTTGCAAACGTATTCATCCCCTTGGTGTTTTTCCTATTTTGTTGCATTACAACCTGTAATTTAAATTGATTTTTAATTGGATTTCATGTAATGGACATTCATGTAATGGACAAAATAGTTTAAATTGGTGAAGTGAAATGAAAAAAATAAATAACGGAAAAGTGGTGCGTGCATATGTATTCACTCCCTTTGCTATGAAGCCCCTAAATAAGATCTGATGCAACCAATTACCTTCAGAAGTCACATAATTAGTTAAATAAAGTCCACCTGTGTGCGCAATCTAAGTGTCACATGATCTGTCACATGATCGCAGTATTTATACACCTGTTCTAAAAGGCCCCAGAGTCTGCAACACCACTAAGCAAGCGGCACCATGAAGACCAAGGAGCTCTCCAAACAGGTCAGGGACAAAGTTGTGGAGAAGTACAGATCAGGGTTGGGTTATTAAAAAAATATCAGAAACTTTGAACATCCCACGGAGAACACCATCCCATGTTTTTCATCGGCTGGGAAACTGGTCAGAATTGAAGGAATGATGGATGGCGCTAAATACAGGGAAATTCTTGAGGGAAACCTGTTTCAGTCTTCCAGAGATTTGAGACTGGGATGGAGGTTCACCTTCCAGCAGGACAATGACCCTAAGCATACTGCTAAAGCAACACTCGAGTGATTTAAGGGGAAACATTTAAATGTCTTGGAATGGCCTAGTCAAAGCCCAGACCTCAATCCAATTGAGAATCTGTGGAATGACTTAAAGATTGCTGTACACCAGCAGAACCCATCCAACTTGAAGGAGTGGTCCTCTGTAGCTCAGCTGGTAGAGCATGGCGCTTGTAACGCCAAGATAGTGGGTTCGATCCCCGGGACCACCCATACACAAAAATGTATGCACGCATGACTGTAAGTCGCTTTGGATAAAAGCGTCTGCTAAATGGCATATTATTATTAAGGAGCTGGAGCAGTTTTGCCTTGAAGAATGGGCAAAAATCCCAGTGGCTAGATGTGCCAAGCTTATAGAGACATACTTCAAGAGACTTTCAGCTGTAATTGCTGCAAAGGGTGGCTCTACAAAGTATTGACTTTGGTGGGGTGAATAGTTATGCACGCTCAAGTTTTCTGTTTTTTTGTCTTATTTCTTGTTTGCTTCACAATAATACATATTTTGCATCTTCATAGTGGTAGGCATGTTGTGTAAATCAAATGATACAAACCCCCCAAAAACCATTTTAATTCCAGGTTGTAAGGCAACAAAATGCCAAGGGGGTGAATACTTTCGCAAGCCACTGTATGCATTGAGAACTTTATAAATCACTGGGTGTGTTTGACCTCTTGCAGTATTTTACACCATGTTGTACCTGTCTGTCCATGTAGCCAGTCTTGGCTTGATGTTCTGTCTCACTGTTCATTGGCATCCTGTCAGAACTAAGTGACCCTTTTTGTAAGCGTACAATGTGAGGGCATTAACAATGTACTGGAGGAAAGACCAGTTAATACAGTATGCATGCCTTATACCAGAATGCATTGGATCTCTGCAGAGGAAAACCTGTCTCTCTACATTATGAATAGAATGTGAACCATCTTAATGGCTATGGTATGAGGCAGGAACACAACAGTCTGCACTCTGAATTCTACTCCCATATCATGTGAGAAATCTCCATGTGTCTGGTTGCTTTACAATACTGTAGCATTTGATGTCACATTCATCAGGTTTGTGTGGTCAGTCAACCCTGGGGCTGGGAGGTCGAAGGGGATGATGCATTGTGTGAACTAGGTCCTCCCCTTTAAACTTTCTTCATAAAATGGACACTGTCTACATTGGATGTCAAAACACCACACTGTATTTACAGTGACCTGTTATTGAATAGTTTCTGGTATCACAAGTTTAGATCAATTTACTCTACATTTTAGTCATTTAGCAGACGCTCGTATTCAAAGCGACTTACAGTTAGTGCATACATTTTCATACTGGCACCCTGTGGGAAACGAACCCACAACCCTGGCGTTGCAAGCGACATGCTCTACCAACTGAGATACAGGGGACTACTACTCTACTGCAAGGTCAACATAAAAAACCTTATTCACACTTTTTTTTCCATTTAGTTTTTCAGTTCTGTTTGATTCCGCTATGTGTTCAACTCTGGTTTTTAACAAAACATCTAATCAATGACAACAGATTCTCTTAATTCTCATTTTATCAAGCGCTACCACTACAAGTTATTTTGTTTTGTCTTCATTTCTTTTTAATATTTTGTTTTTATTGTAAACATAAAGGTTTGTTTTCATAACTTTTTCTTGGGGACATTGCAGGTTTTTTGGTACTATCCTCGTGATTCTGAGCAGAGATGCAGCAGAACAAAGTAAGCAACAGTAATTCTCAACATAATCCACTAAGGAGCGCTGTGGGCATTTCACCGATTCGCAACAAAAGGAACACCTCAGACCGGAAGATAGCTTCTGCGCGAACACGTTGTCGTTCTTTCTTTTCCTGTGACAGCAACGAGGATCATGGTGAGAGGCTCGTGGCTTTCCTTCAATTCAGTAAAATTGCGCGGTTTATTCCACATAAAACGACCACAGTTGATAACATCCATAAGCATAAACATCTTATCTTGCCACTTATGGTTGTGACTTTTCGAGAGAGGTCCTTCATTTGTCACTTGCCATCATAATAACCATACGCGAGTAAGCTAAAAGCTACTGCTACTAGCAAATGCGTGGATGTCTAGTTAGATACGTCGGCTAACTATCAAACATGTTTATACTACTTGCAAATTAAATGGTTGTTGGCTAACTAACTAGTTATGTCGGTTAGCAATCAAACATTTCAGAACAATGCTTTCGATGTAGTTAACGTATGTTGCCACTTAGAATAGTTATATTCATTATCAGGCCACGTTTACGTTATTTGTGGACAAAATGGGTAGTTCGCTGGCAAAATAACTTAATATATTTAAATGTATTCCCGAATTTACTCTGCCGATTGTCAATCTTCACAGGGCAAGATCAAGGCTAGAGATCTGCGGGGCAAGAAGAAGGAGGAGCTGCTCAAGCAGCTAGATGACCTGAAGGTAGAGCTGTCCCAGCTCCGCGTAGCCAAGGTTACTGGTGGAGCTGCCTCCAAACTCTCCAAGATGTGAGTATTATTTGGACTGCAGAAATGATAGTCTGAGCTTGCCTGGGTTTTGAGTTGGCTGTAGTTCTCACGGTCACAATTTATTGCTACATCAGGGTGGAGAAATAAGTGGCTTCTCAGTTGTAATCTGATAAAGGTCATGGTTATATTGCTTTGGTATGCAGGGATTTTAGTCACCGAATATGGCGTGCCTTCAATTGTGTTGGCAACGCCACGCACATTTACATAGAAAAAAAACGACACGTCCCTTGTGTGTCACGAATGTTGAATACAATTATATTTGAACTTATTCTGCGATTGTCCGTGGTGTTGATCCTTCAAGTGGTTAAAATTTGATGCAAAGTATCCACAGGAAAGTATTATTATAGACTTCAAACACTGGTCTGTGGCAATCGAGACCTTTGCTCATTACTGAAGAGACATGCACAAGACTGAAGTACATGCATTCGATGCATGCATACTAACATGGTTTTGTACATGTGCCAGGTGATAGATATTCCTCTGGATATTGTCTCAAAGTAAAAGTACCACCGCACACAGACAAACCGGTAGAGCACGTTCAAATGTAATTAGATTCAATATTCAGGCTTGTAATTAAAATGACCACGATTTTGCAGTGTTTTGACAGTATACCAAGAATTGGTATCTAATTTGTATTTATTAGTCAAGGTTGAGGTTCAGTAGGGCAATAAAATGTGCTTCTCTTTTTGCTCAAATCTCAAACACCCTTTAAGTTGAGGCTTCTTATCCTTGCATTTTAATAAACCCTTATTTTTTTTATGTTTCCTCTAGCTGTGTCGTCCGCAAATCCATCGCCCGCGTTCTGACTGTCATCAACCAGACGCAGAAGGAGAACCTGAGGAAGTTCTACAAGGTAAGAGCAATGCCAGCCATACACACATGTATTTAACAAATCCGTTAGACAAAACAGACCCTGCTGATGAACGGTCAAAAGCAACGGGCAGGGGTCTGACCGCACAAGATCGGCTGTCATTTTCTGTTAATTTCCCGATGATTCTACATGTTGACTCGCCACTGGTCATCAATACCCAACAGGTGATCTACTGCACACTGTGTGAGTTATGGTGTCTTGTCAACCTTGACCACATGTTAAACATGCTGCAGATTAGTTTGTAAAGTAACCCATGTAACCTCAATATTTGAGAACTAGGATGAATGCCAACCCTGATTATTCAGACCAGCTAAATGCTAAAGACCATAATTGAACAAAATGCAATAGCAGCAATAGTTTCGGATAATTTTTAGTATTGGTTTAAATGCCCATGTAGTGTTTTGTAATTTGATTGTTAATGTCATATTTCAGGGTAAGAAGTACAAGCCCCTGGATCTGAGACCCAGGAAGACCCGTGCCATCCGCAGGAGACTTAACAAGCATGAGGAGTCTCTCAGAACCAAGAAGATGCAGAGGAAGGACCGCCTCTATTCCATTCGCAAATTCGCTGTCAAGGCTTAAGGCCGTTTCTCTTGTACAAATAAATTGACTAAAAAGAGAAGTATGTTGTCTTCTGTAAAGGGATGGTACTCCAAATTGTGAATGTTTAGTTTGGTAATATATATGCCTCAGTGAGCAGCTGGAATATGGATTGCAAACATTTTCAGCAATTATTTGGTGAGACATTTTACATCCACTTTGCAATCTTAATATGCACTGATAATGGATGTTATGTATGCTGAAGAGGATTATGTTGTGCTAGAAAATACTCTTAGTTGGAATTGGGACAGCCTTTGCTAAAATACTGTTCAGAAGAATGTTGTATTTCATAGCAGGACAGTAAAGACTTGTGGAGTGTTATTGACAGGGGTGCAACTTTTGTTTTAGAACTGGAGGGACTATATATATATATAGATATATATATATATACACACACACACAGTGGGGAGAACAAGTATTTGATACCCTGCCGATTTTGCAGGTTTTCCTACTTACAAAGCATGTAGAGGTCTGTAATTTTTATCATAGGTACACTTAAATTGTGAGAGACGGAATCTAAAACAAAAATCCAGAAAATCACATTGTATGATTTTTAAGTAATTTGCATTTTATTGCATGACATAAGTATTTGATCACCTACCAACCAATAAGAATTCCGGCTCTCACAGACCTGTTAGTTTTTCTTTAAGAAGCCCTCCTGTTCTCCACTCATTACCTGTATTAACTGCACCTGTTTGAACTCGTTACCTGTATAAAAGACACCTGTCCACACACTCAATCAAACAGACTCCAACCTCTCCACAATGGCCAAGACCAGAGAGCTGTGTAAGGACATCAGGGATAAAATTGTAGACCTGCACAAGGCTGGGATGGGCTACAGGACAATAGGCAAGCAGCTTGGTGAGAAGGCAACAACTGTTGGCACAATTATTAGAAAATGGAAGAAGTTCAAGATGACGGTCAATCACCCTCGGTCTGGGGCTCCATGCAATATCTCACCTCGTGGGGCATCAATGATCATGAGGAAGGTGAGGGATCAGCCCAGAACTACACGGCAGGACCTGGTCAATGACCTGAAGAGAGCTGGGACCACAGTCTCAAAGAAAACCATTAGTAACACACTACACCGTCATGGATTAAAATCCTGCAGATCACGCAAGGTCCCCCTGTTCAAGCCATCGCATGTCCAGGCCCGTCTGAAGTTTGCCAATGACCATCTGGATGATCCAGAGGAGGAATGGGAGAAGGTCATGTGGTCTGATGAGACAAAAATAGAGCTTTTTGGTCTAAACTCCACTCGCCGTGTTTGGAGGAAGAAGAAGGATGAGTACAACCCCAAGAACACCATCCCAACCGTGAAGCATGGAGGTGGAAACATCATTCTTTGGGGATGCTTTTCTGCAAAGGGGACAGGACGACTGCACCGTATTGAGGGGAGGATGGATGGGGCCATGTATCGCGAGATCTTGGCCAACAACCTCCTTCCCTCAGTAAGAGCATTGAAGATGGGTCGTGGCTGGGTCTTCCAGCATGACAACGACCCGAAACACACAACCAGGGCAACTAAGGAGTGGCTCCGTAAGAAGCATCTCAAGGTCCTGGAGTGGCCTAGCCAGTCTCCAGACCTGAACCCAATAGAACATCTTTGGAGGGAGCTGAAAGTCCCGAAACCTGAAGGATCTGGAGAAGGTCTGTATGGAGGAGTGGGCCAAACCCCTGCTGCTGTGTGTGCAAACCTGGTCAAGACCTACAGGAAACGTATGATCTCTGTAATTGCAAACAAAGGTTTCTGTACCAAATATTAAGTTCTGCTTTTCTGATGTATCAAATACTTATGTCATGCAATAAAATGCAAATTAATTACTTAAAAATCATACAATGTGATTTTCTGGATTTTTGTTTTAGATCCCGTCTCTCACAGTTGAAGTGTACCTATGATACAAATTACAAACCTCTACATGCTTTGTAAGTAGGAAAACCTGCAAAATCGGCAGTGTATCAAATACTTGTTCTCCCCACTGTGTCTATATATATTTAATCCAGTCGGATATACACTCCAAACAGCCTACCCGACCATTCGGAGGCGTCCGCATGGTCCTAAAGCACACCATTGCCTCGTTTTGTATCACATTCCAATGATAAAACTGGGGGACAAATGCAATTTCAGAATGTGGTGGGGACATGTCCCCAGTGACAGTTGTGATCCTGCATATACTGATTTTGTGTACTTGAGGTACAAAGTGATGACTAAAGGAATCAGGGCTATATGAACAAGCATGGCCATACTTTCTGTGTATTGTATGTGCAACATCCTCATAATACTCAGATGGAAGTAGGAAAAAAAAACTGTAAAACGCAGGGAAGTTAAACAATTGGATGTCAGTAAATAATGAACAACATTTCCATGATTCTCACTTAAATCCACCCCTGCCCATACTCTATGATGTGCAGGCTTCAGAGTATACTGTAGGCTGGATCTTAATGTACTTGTGGGAAAGTCTAAATTAGCCCAACACCTCAAAAGTAACTATGGGGCTGCACTTGATGGATATGGATGCAGTTTCTGGGACCAGGAAACGTAATTTGGAAGGTAGTTAGGGAAACGTCAGAACCTTTTTTGTCTGCAAGGACAACTTGCATCCCACACCTGTCATTTTTACAGTGTGTACTGTTTTCCATTTTGACTTCGGTAAGTCTCTTGAGCAATGTGTCCTGTCGGTCGTCCAATAAAGACCACACAGCAGAAATTACAGCTGACCATAAAATGTAACTTAACACGTCATCTGGCCAGCTCCGGGAACACAGAACTAATTTCATGTGTTCAGGAAAAAGTATTTGTTTGCAGCTCCACACATTTAAATCTCTAAGCACAATGCCAAATTCAGTTGGGAAATACCAGTTCTTGACCCTAATCATTGCACTGGTTTGTAATGGGAGCTGGTTTAACACAGGGCCTATTAGGCTAGTGGCAAGGCCTCCACAGTTCTAAGATGCCCTTACCCGAGGTAGAACAAAACAAAACCATGTTTTCAAATCTATAATGTCTTCCATTTATGCAAAAAATATTTTGGTGCAAAAGTAGTTAAATTGATAGATATTGTGAAACCCCCTAAACTCAAATAGTGCAGAATAATGGCTGGAGGGAGGATGGGCCACATAAGTCAGTTGTCTGCACTACATACACAAATAAACAACATTAAGATATCTTAATGCATTTTGGAAATATAGACCCCTAAACGCAGAGATACAATAGGCAGAAATATAAACTATGAATATTTATGATGAATGTAAGTATTGTGAAATGTAATGAGAACATTGGTTTAATCCCCAAAACACGATGTCTTTGCAATTTAGTTGTTTTAACTACCAGTTAATCCAATAGCAAACAATGCAAGATACGTGTTTCAAATCGCCCTTAGAAGTGCTGAAAGTAATAGGCTACAGTACTGTAAATGACAGTAGATTGCAGTTTTCACATTAGGCATTACACTTACATTAACCAACAAAATTGACAAAAAATCTAAAATTTCCACAATATCTATCCAATGTGTAATCAAAGGTGTGATCAATGAAGACATCCTCTACAATCATTCATGCAAAAAAAACCTTATTTTTCAGATAAAATTGCAACATAGGTGTACTGTCTGTATCAAATGTAAGAAATTAAATGCATTTGGCCATAAATTCTCATCCTCATCACAGTGAATGTCCTCATTGTTCATGCACCACGGGAAAAACCTTTTGGCATGGCGAATCCAAGCTTGACATTGGTCTGCACTGATGTCGTTGCAGGCACCATCCATGGCCAGAAGGAGGGTGGCACGCTCATGGGGATGGCGATCGTACACCTTCCAACTCCATGCTGGAAAACATTCCTCAATAGGGTTGAGGAAAGGAGAGTATGGGGGCAGATATAGGGTCACGAACCGGGGATGGGCCTGAAACCATGCCTGAACCACCTCTGCATGGTGGAACCTGACATTGTCCCACACAATGACATAGGTGACCCCTTCACCTTGACAGACCTGCTCAATTTCATTGAGAAACACATTGAGGTGTGCAGCGTGGTAGGATCTAAGTACTGGCCTACGTCCTACCACACCATCTTCAGAGATAACTGCGCACATGGAGATGTTTCCCCCATGTTGTTCAGGCACTTAGATGGTCGCCCGTTGGCCGATGAGGTTCTGCCCACGGTGTCGAGTTTTGGCCAGGTTGAAGCCAACTTCATCAACAAAGATATACTTGTGATGGTTCACAGCAGCATTAAGCACTATCACCCTCTACAAATATATTTTGGTTAGTTATTTTTTACAGTATAGTTCCAATATGATATTGTGAAGTAGCATGTGCATCAAATAGTAACAGTAAACAGTATATAGTGCTGTACCTGAACATACTCGGCCCACAAGCACCAGGTAAATGTGTTTCATAGATAATTGGTGCCTCTTCAAAAGGCAGGTGATTGTTGGTAGGCTGATGGATGCCACATTGGCAAAGGTGTCATCGTTCTCCTCAATGGCCTGCTTTATTTCGGACAGCCGTATGTCATTCCTGGCCCTCTCTATTTCCACCACTGCCCACTCCTGCTGGTCGGTCAGCACACGGCCACGGCCACCACCATGGGGTCTTATGTCAATTCTGAGAGTAGAACAGAGTATACTGTCAATAGATCATACTGTAAGAATACTAACATGTTTTGTGAATTTAGATGCATTACAATATGTAATTTACTGTAAATGTAATGGTAAAGCATGGTGAATATCCTACAGACTTAACAGTTTTCTTGGCGAAATGTTCTCATGATCGAATTGACAGATTATCTTTTCAGATTGAGGAACTAATCTGGCAGCCTCTGCCATGGTAAGGCCTCTGCGTACCACATAGTCAACGACGATGGCCCGGACTTCATTAGACAACAGTTTCCTACCATCTGCCTGCCTCTCTTTGATGTCCACCTCTTTGACAGGGCCCATACCCACCTCTCTGACAGGGCCCATACCCACCTCTCTGACAGGGCCCATACCCACCTCTCTGACGGGCCCATTGTTCACGAGCTCTTTGATTTCTTCCTCCCCCTTGCTGTCTATCCTGCTCCATGTTCACACACACCCTGTTATATGGTGACCAATTGTGGTTAACTCTAAGTGAAATCAATTAGCAATAACAAGTAGTCATTATGTACATGTAATTTAGATGTTTATACTTTACAAACAGTTCTCAGAATCCATATATAGCAGACAAACCAGTTTAAAATCTATAGGTTTACCAAACGGTTAAGTGATGAACCACTAAGCACAGTTGGATTAAGTGATGGTCAAATGCATTTAAACAAATGAGAAGAGAATCATATGAAAAGT